GATCTTTTTGCCACGGGGACAGCGGTGCTGCAGGGGGAGAGCCTCGTGTCCCTCTTGGGCTCCTCTTGCTGGGCAGTCAGTGGCTGGCAGCTTTGTCCAAGGGCTGGGGATGGGAGATGGGATGGGATGATGGGATGGGAGATGGGATGAGATGGGATGGGATGGGATGGGATGATGGGATGGGATGGGATGGGATGGGATGATGGGATGGATGAGATGGGATGGGATGGGATGATGGGATGGGATGATGGGATGGGATGATGGGATGGGATGATGGGATGGGATGGGATGATGGGATGGATGAGATGGGATGGGATGGGATGATGGGATGGGGAGCCACTGCCAGGAGTGAGTGAATCATTGCACAGCCTTGGTTTGCAAGTCAGTGTAGGATGTACCCTGCACCTGCCCATGGCTGTGCAGTGGGTTGGGGCTCAGCCCTGTCCCCATGATGGAACACAAACCCACTTGTGGCCAGCAGGCTGTGGAATGATGTGCTGAGAAGGAGCTGGGCAGGATGAGACCTTTCTCCTTGACTGAGGAAACCCAGCTGGTCATTTGGTTGATCTAGATAAAGAGAGATGGGGTTCTTTGGATATCGCTGCATATTCCACACAGCAGCCCTCTGCTTTTAGTAATGTGGTACACAACGTGCCTGATCCTCCCTCTGTTGTGAGCCTGGTGGAAGCATGTCCTGTTTTCCATTCGTTTATTTATTTATCATCTTGTTTTCAGCCTCTGCAAAGCTTGATATTGGTATAGAGCCTGGGAAGTGTGCACAGAGCAGAGTAACAGATAGTCGTGATTTGGTTACAAGGCAATAATTTAAGTGGACAGGTTTAGCTGATAACATAAAGCACACAGGAGAAATCGCTTCGGTTTATAAATGTCAGCAGAGCCCCTGCGAGTGAGCTGCTGCCTGGTGCTGCTGCTCCATCCAATATATTAAAAGGAGATATAAACAGATGTCTGAAAAAATCTGCCTGACCAAGATTAAAAGAATGGGGCTATAAATGAAAGTCTTCCTTGGCGTCTCTTTAAGCAACTTTATGGACAGAGCGCATCCAAATAAATGAGTGCTAATGCTCGGAGGGGTGGTTTGGGCTGCAGAGTCCCCGGGGTGGGGACGGCTTGTGGGGACAGCAGTGTCAGTCAGAGCTGGCATGGGAGACCAAAGCCTGTCCTGGTGCTTCTGCAGCTGATAAAGGGATTAAATCAGGAACAGGAATAACACCATCCCTGCAGTGTCGCCACAGGATCAGCGTCTCCTGTTTGGAAAATAAACGCTGTCGCTCTGCTCTGACATTTATTCCCAATAAAGACCTTGTCGTTTGTGCAGTGACAAGGGTTTTATCCTCTGGGAGTGCTTCACCTGTTGGGCACTGTCTTTTTGGCGTGAGGCAGTGAGTGATTGAGGGGCAGCAGAGGCTGGAGCTCTGCTCAGACCCTGCGGCTTTCTCTCGATCCATCGCCCCAAGGCGATGCAGTAACACCTATTCAAACAGAGAGCAGGTTCAGACTGGATATTGGGAAGGAATCCTTCCCTGAGAGGGTGGGCAGGCCCTGGCACAGGTGCCCAGAGCAGCTGGGGCTGCCCCTGGATCCCTGGCAGTGCCCAAGGCCAGGCTGGCCAGGGGTTGGAGCCTCCTGGGACAGCGGGAGGTGTCCTTGCCATGGCAGGGGTGGCACTGGATGAGCTTCAAGATTCCTTTCCACCCAAACCATTCTGTGATTCTATGATTCTGTGACTTTATTTTTAATTTATTTTAATTTATTTTAGCTGTGGCTAAAAAAATCCCAAGCGTGGGATATTTTTTAAGTGCTAAGGCGTACAAACCAGTTGTGGGGGTGGGAGTTTGCTGCTTCCCCCTCCACAGCTGTAGCCCTTCTGGCAGGTTCGTGGAGGGGATTTCACAGCTATTTCTACTCACTGGGTAGTTGATTTAGAGCTGGGAAATTAATTAGAATGGAAACTCTTCTTTCCCTTTATGAGGAGCAAGGGATGAGGTCTGGCAGCTGTAGGATTTGCAGCTCTCAGGGAAGAGGGACCATTCAGCAAGACATCTAGGCAGTGCCTACCTGTGGATACACATCTTTTATTTGTCTGAGGTGTCAAGGAGAAAAAAATGCTACAAAATGGCTTAAATATAGATGTGTTTTGATATTTTTTTAATTGAGTTTCATTTCCCAAATGCAACTTAATGCAAACAATAAGTAAAAAATTAATTTCTCTCGGGAAAAAGCTATTAACAGAATGATTCTGTTTTAGCAGCATGTGAAGCTGTGTAATTGCTTACATATGTATTGCTCCAGTGTGTGCTCCCAGTTGTTGAATACTATCAAATTATAGGAATCAAAGAGAATCAACTATTTTTAAGGGAAATGTCTAGAAGCTACATACTGAAACATGATTAAAATTCAGGATTTCCAGCTTATTCGTCTAAATCAGCAATTTTAATCACATTATTCAAGTCAACCCACCCTCAAACAGACTTTTGACTTCAAAATACCCCAAACTAAATAAGACAGAAGACCTTCCTTGAACAGCTGTAACATTTTTAAATGGCAATGTCAATCTTTTTGTTGAAAGCAGAGATGTTTTTCATGGTTTATTTATTAAAGCAGTGCATTTGTCCTGCTGTGCCATGAACCTGGGCTACTGTGCAGAGCGGCAAGGAGAAATCCCTGAAGTGCCAAGAGCTGCTTAAACACATCAGAGTTTTGCTCTGGGGTTGGGATGCTCTTGGTTAAATCTCATTCCATGTGCAAAGCAGAAGCAGGAAGAGTTTGTGTCCTGGCTGATGCAGCCTCTGTAATTTGGCGGTGCTGGGTGTGCAGCTCGTCAGCACCAGGTCTGGGTTGGGTTTTATTTCCTGCTGGCTGAGAATAGAAACGGGAGGCTGGGCTCCTCCTGGGCCTGCTCCTGTGCTTTCCCTTAGGATGATTCTCTCAAGCAAAGCCCATCCACCTCCCTCCTCTGCCCAGGCAGGCTGATGTGGCTGGCTGCAGCCAGAGCTGCCCTGGCAGGGCTGTTCCTGGCTGGTGACAGCCCAGAGCTGCTGCTGTGACAGCCCAGAGCTGCTGCTGGGGCTGTGCCCTGGCTGGTGACAGCCCAGAGCTGCTGCTGGGGCTGTGCCCTGGCTGGCCCAGTGCTGCTGACACGGCCAGGGAAGGGAAGGACGCTGGCTGCGGGGGGAGGCACCCGGCTCGCCCCTCGCTTTGCCCCCTGAGTGTGGCGGTGGCTGTAGAGGACAGGATTGTCCTCCTGCGCCCTCTGCTCAGCACGCCATGGCATTTTGTCCTGGAACAGCCTGGGCTGGCAGGGACCTTAGAGCTCATCTCGTTCCACCTCCCTGCCGTGGGCATGGACGTGTCCCACTAGAGCAGGTGATCCTTTGCTGTGTTTTCCTTGCTGGCAGAGCCCTGTCTCGGTGAGCCAGAGACAGGAGATGTGGAGTTGCCCTTTTCATGGAGATCCTACAAAGTCCTTTCTGACTCCTCCTCCCAGCTCCACCACCGGCGAGGGCCACAGCAAATTCCTGCAGAGCCCAACTCTCAGCGTGGGAGGATGCTCCTATAGACAGACAAAGATTAAAGGTCCTGCATATCACAAGTTTGAGGAGTGGGAGGAGGTTGGGATCTGTCCATGGGAAGCATTCCAAGCCTGTCCTCCCATAGTTTAAGATGGGGAGATAATCACATGTCCTCTTACATATCCAACCAATGCAACCTCCAGTGGACAGGACTGATGGAGAGAAAGAGGGTCTACCAGAAATGCAAACCTTGTTTTAATAGGAAATCCTCCAAGCTGGATTTTCCTGTTTTTTTCTAAATGCATTTATACCAACTGGATGACTACAGGCTTTGAAATATTTCTGTCTGAATTGTGACAAACATCCCAGTCTCATGTAGGAAGCACCAGGTCCTTTGATCAGCGAAATGTCTCTTTGGGCTTGAACAGGGAAGGATCAATCCAGTTGTTCCCAAGACCAGAGCTTTTTGTCTGTGAGTACATTTATGGTACAAAATAATTACCCTCGTCTTCACTTCCCTTTGGTAGGAGATGCTCCCTGTCTCCTGCAAGCTGTTACTCTATCCCAGGTATCTTTTTAGATAAAAGGAAGAGAGAAAGGAAAGGCTGAATAGGGAATCCTCCTCAGGAGGGAGGAAGCTGTGGTCTGTCTGTCCACCTGTGAGCAGCTCAGTGGCTATTCAGCTGCAGCCTTGCTGTCCTGGGCAGGCAGAATTCCTGCATTAAGAGAAGAAGAAATGCCATCAAGAAATAGCAACCAAATATTGCCTCCTCTTCACCGCAGTGCTGGGCTGGCCGTCGAGATGTGTTTGTGGTGAACTGCTGAAAAACACTCTGAATTTCCTATTTTTTCTGCATTTAAAATTTCCTGGTTTATAAAAAAATATTTTTTCCAATTTCTGCATTTAAAACCAAAGCTTAATGTATTCTGTGTATTTTTGTTGGCAGATAGTAATGATCGTAAATTCCCTTTAATACAGCATTTGCACACCAGCACAGCCTTGATGTGCAGCGTACCTGGCTGTACTCCGTGGGATGCTTTGATTTCCCTTTGGTAGATGCATTTTATTCTGTCTGCCCCAATCAGCAGCAATTCCCCTTTCTCCATGTAGCCTCCAAATCTACTTCTGGTGTGGAGTTTTGGTGCTCTCCCAGGAACTGGGCTGGAAGGGACGAAGGAACCAGGGTTTGCTGGGTTCAGGGTTCCACCTCCACTGTGGCTCAGAGCCAGCCTGTCAGCACAGGGACACCTTTGGTGGCTCAGGGTGGCATTTCTGGGAGGGAAAAACAACCCCTTAAGGGGGCTGCTGGATGGGAGCAGGGGCAGTGGTGGATATACCACTCCTCACCATGTGGGATGAAGCTTTTCTCCCCTTCTCCCAGGGAAGAGAATGTGCCCTCAGCTCCCAGTTCCTCCCAAAGCTGGAGCAGTGCACGGGCCATGAATTAAGGTGACCTTTGTTTGTAGGTCAGGCTGTTCCGGCAGGATCACACGTGCGGCTGAACCTGGAGACTGGAGAGAGAGAAGCCAAACTCCCAGACAGAGAAAATGGGGAAAGTGGAACAAAAGAAGAGAGAAGAAGGAAAAGGTACAGACATGCAGGGCCGTGCAGGGGTGGGCTGTGGGATTCATGCCTTTTATTAGAGGCCAGGCTCCCAGGTGTGCTCAATTACTGCCTCTTCCTGAGACTTAATTGCTGGGTTTGGAGCCCAGCAGTGCTGGAAGCAGAGACTTGTCCTTTGTGATCCCTTTGGGATGGTGGTGAAAGTGCCCTGAGTGCACATTCAGAGGCACCTTCATGGTTTCTCATACCATGACACCGAAACTAAATCGACAATGTGGCTTCTTTGAATGAGATTTAGCCCTTTGAAGTATCTGCAGCAGGTGCTCTGAAACTGCTTTCTGAGCCTTGGGATCAGATGTGAGGGGCTCAGCCAGCTACTGTGTCCCAGCTGGGCTCAGCCCCACAACCTCACCTGCACACTAGGCACTGCCAGGCTCCCTGGAGGTCACCCCTTCCCTGCAACCACCTTTTTAAAAGTGCTTTAAACCTCAGCTGCTGCTGACTTTCCGCTTGGAACCCTCTGAGAAAAGACTGGTTTAGTTAGTAGGAGAATTTCTCTCCTGGAACGCGTGGGATTTCCCAGGGCCTCTGCGATGGTGATGCTGGGGGAGCACGGGGCTTTTGGGTCAGGGGCTGAGCTGGGGGTCCCGTTGGGCCCAAATCCCCCAGCCAGTGCCCCTGCAGCTGTCAGCC